GGAGGGAGGGAGGGGTCAGGCGCGTGCAAGAGGGAGGGGAGGGACAGACTCATCCTATCCAAGTCTTCAAGGCCCTCGCCCAGCGCGAGCGCACGATGCCACATGGCTTCCAAGTTCACAAGCGTACTTGCGAGACTTCATCTGTTGTTGTAAGCGATGACTACCCATCTCCTCTCCTACGTCAAAATCCCCTCCCGATCCCCCTCCCTCCCCACAATCAGCAGCTTCTCTCGCAGGATGTTGGTCACGCGGTATAATTACATGTTGCCCCTTGTGCTTTTTCCTCGCCCGCGGTCATGGTGTCTCAATCTACACTTCTCTCTACCCACCTTCTTCGCTGCTGCCTTCTCAGCAAGCTTTGTGGCCAAAAGCGCTTCTTGCGTGCGACGTTTTTTGAGGATGGACTCGGGGATGGCCATTGCTGCTATTGAATGACTGGCAGAAAGAATAGGAACAGAAAGGGGTGAGTGATGAGCCCTTCTAAAGATGGAAGGAAAATGCGATGGTAGGGAGGAAGAAAGGGGGGCGAGTACCAGGCTTCTACAGCCATTAAAGCCCCGCCGGCTATGTCCATAGAGCACAGCCAATGACACACACAGCAGCTTCGCAAGCTCACTGTACGCGCCAAGGTCAACTATCGTGCGGGACACCGTACCCGTGGCGGCGGTAATCATGCCAAATAAAAGGAGGGGCTACAGGAGGAATGGATGGTGCGGCCGGCGAGTCTCCTTGAGCCCCGCAGGGCAAAAACCTTTCCAGCCCAAACTACCCACCAAGAAGCCAAAACCACCACCACCAGCAGCCAACACGCCAAGACACGTGGCGAGTCGCTACAGACGTGGCACCAAGGCGTGGGGTGCGTCGGGAAGCGTGGTCACAACAATGGATGGTGCGGCTGGGAAAGCCATAGGGGAGGGGGTGACGCACAGACGCAATCTGTGATAAAATTGCCAGACATATACACCTACACATCCTATCACCAAGTCGCTCCCACAGGACCTACAGATCGATGCCGTCCGCGACGACGGCAACCTGGGAGGGTGCTCGAGGGAGAGAATGGAGAGGGTAGATGTTCAATTGAGGCACATTTTTATGGATGATGCTGCGTGGTTGCAAGAATCATGCGCATGGCACATCTCCACAAAACCCAACGATTAAAAATATTCCCTCCAATAGCATTTCCTTCCCCGTCGCACCCCGCAAGGCGCGGAACGGAAAGCCAGGAAAGCAGCTGGCAATGGACACTACCTTGGACTGTCTTTTGGATCCAAGCATTTCGTAGGAAACATACTTTTTCCGTACGAGGGCGGGTCCGCAGGACTGTAATAGTCAAATACAGCAAAGGGTCTTATTGGAACGAGGCATGCTATTCCTTCCCCTCCCCGCGACCGCAGGTATGTCCTCCCCCCACCCCAAAAAAACGCACGACCGAAATTCTCGTGCATTGGGCCTTTATTTTACATCGACGACCCTATCATGATGATGCAGGCTACACTTTAACGAAAAGTGGCAAGAAGCTCTTGCGTTTCCCGTCCCCGCGGACGATCCTTCAAGCCCTTGCGCCTCGAACTTCGACCTCTTTTTCGTTCAGCACGACCAGCCTGGAACTCTCCACGCGGAGACGAAGAAAACGAAGAAGGGAAGACCGCATTCCTTCCCTCTTGCCCTCCTTCCCGCCCTCCTTCCCGCCCTCCCTCTCTTTGCACCGAGGAGGAAGCCGACGGGCGTACGACACGGAAGGGGCAACTG